TTTTTTTTTTATCTTCCTTCCGCTTATCTTCTAGCATACGGGTTCGGCGTCGAAGAAAGAACTGTTCTTTCAATACTGGAATCGTTCACATTTCAATGGCGTCATAAAAACGGAAATGTTGCTCAGATAGTCCATTCGTCCTCGGCTAAAACAAATGTTAATCCGTAGGATCAATCCCGGGTACTAACTAGAATCTATGCAACAATTTTTAATAATAATTGTATCACTTGTGGCCGATTATGTGATTTGTACAACCTGCACCGTTTGTGGTATAAAAGCATATTACGTTTGTGCGGACGTATGCAATACCCGCTTTTTGCTATAGCGATGGATTGAGAATAATTTTCTAATTTGAATTAGTAGGGTCTGTCCGTCTGTCCGTTTTGGTTTCTGGTGTACAAAACGTTATTAAAAATGGTTTGGATCGGAAAACTGTTTCAATCACTTCTCATATAACTGTAGGCTATTTAATGATAACCCGCGGACCACTCGAGTTTTTGTACTTGTGTTAAATGATGAGTCTGTTTACAATAGTTTCGCCTAACCACTTTTAATATTTGGCATGAATTTCGTGTCGCCAATAGTTTGGCTTGTCTTGTATTGAGCTGTGATGTAATTACTGCCATGATTTATTATTTTCTGCGTTATTTTGGTGTACGGTATGGTGTTTTCTCATCGACTTCAAGCACTTTTAGAAGCACTTCACCGAGAACTAAACATGAGAAGTTATGCCTATCGCAAAGGGATTATTTTTTTCAATTGCCATAATTCGAAGCATTTAAAGTTAAAAATATTTTATTTTGTGCACTTTGACGAGACAACATACTCAGCCGTTACAGTATAGTTCAAAATTAGGGCCTCTGCAATAAATCGCTTTAAATTTATGGCACATTCTTAATATATTGCACAACAAAAATTTCGGTTATGTTCATATGTATATATACACACATCATATTCGATTTTAAGATAGAACAGAGATCCATTATTATATTGTACGATGTAAATAATTATCCAAGTTAAAAAGCCAATTTACATATGACGTCTTAATTACATATCTCTAGTAAGGTATCTTCTGAATACAAAAGAATCGAGTATTCTCTTGAAAACTTCAAGTGAAACTCGGAAATTTTAATTTAAATGAAAAGAAAACTTTTGTTCGTTTTTTCCTTTCTTTTTTTTTTTTTTTTTTTTGTTAATATCGGGCGCGTTTTTTGATTT